TCAATATCTGAGACTAGACAAATGAGATAGACTGTAATGATGGATAGATCGGTATCTTATTTACATTCTTTTTTTTTTTAGAGGATATTGGTTTCCGCCAGAGATGAAGAATTGATACACATTGCGACGAGCACGCAGATCGAATTCGGAAAATCGATTAAATGGGTTATATTACAATACATATATAGGTGAAAATCTTATATTATCCAGCGCGGCCATTTTTGATGATTGAGACAAATTTGTTTGTGCTCGTCGAAGTGTACACGAGCAATTTATCAATTAGATTTCATTTGATAACAAGCGCAACGTGAACGATGTGATACTACAATAAGATCTTTGATGATAGATTGCATCGATATTCACTGTATAATTTTATGTATAATTATAATAGAATTAAACATATATAGTCCCTTTGGAGAGAGAGTTATATTTTGCAAGCGAATGATGAAGTGTAATTAGCAGTTATGTCGACGTATCCTTGCATACACAGTTGTAATCGAATAAGTATCATCCGTTAGGGAATCATGATGATATATATTGTGCAGATCGATACGTATCTCGCGAATTAATCGGAGGCTCTTTGATCATTCGCCTATTCTGCTCTGACGCACACGCGATCATACAATTAATTATTGACCCGTTTTAATCCCGTTAGGTCTAATTAGAGAGGATGGTGTCTCGTCTCAAAGTTGTTAATTGAGTTGGTTAATGCGATAAAGGAGTTCGTAGTGTTCTCATTCTCCTCCCCTTTTGCACCATCCATTGTCTTGCTTCTTCTGCTTCTCTGTTTCGCTTTATCTCTTTTCATTGCGGAATTCTAAAGGTGTGCAGATACCTGCAGACAGTGATTATTTCCACTACTTCAATTATTTGAGTTATTCCCATCAACGAGCTTCCCAGCACCCGATAAAGTTATTGAGGAATCATATATGACATCCTTAATATTCACAAGACCTCAAAATAGATGTGCTCGTGGAAATTTTCTCAAGATGAGCGTATGTGCGAAAACAAATTACAAATTGAAAGAAAAGTTTATTTATATTTTTTTATTCGAAAAATTTAAATCGATAAATCCTTCATTAACATTATCTCCTCGAATTATATGACACATAAATGTGGTATAATAATAAAATATTCCGACGACGGGATGTTCTGGATTGCTCGCACAATTGAACTTTCCTTTATTTTACATCGTATAATAAGGATCGTTTATTCAATCGCATAATTATTATTAAAAAGTGCTTTGTATAACTGCGAGATTATTGGTAAAAATATTTCTCTCCTACGAGCCGCGGGAACTGCCCTTCGAGAGATGAATCTCAATGTATTCGATTGATTAAGTCATGCTTTTGTCGAGATAAAACGCTCGACCAGCATAGATTTTTTTTTTTTCTTTTATTACGAAGCGGCTATCGGCATTTAATAAAATATAGTTCTCCAATTATGAAATTGCATTGTACAATTATATTGATTATATTTGCTGAGAAAAAACTTAGCTTTCTGTTCATCATTTTTTTCAATTTATTTCTCAACAAGAAAAGTCAAGTATTATTTGTATGTATTTATGTATATAAATAATTAAAATGTATATAATTAATATACGTGCTGTACACGTACTAAAAATATTTCGATTAAATTATGCCAATCCCGAAATTTATACTAAATCTTCCTGAACGCTAAGTTACGATTTTTAATTCGGCTTATTAACATATTTTTTTTCAGTTATATCGTTTCTATGCAATATACGCGCACCTTGCTTTCCCATCTCAAGAACCATTTATCCGATACGTTCCGTTGCATGCAGTCCAATAAATCGAGACGCCGCACCTCGCTGCACCGCGTGCACAGACGTTAAGTCGATACTGGCCAATAATAAATGCCTCTGCACATGGCAGCGTCGAACCCTCCGCTGCCTCCGTGGGTTTTCACGTACCGACGTTAAATTCGGGGCATCGATAATCGAAGTTGGAAACGGTTCTTCGCTGAGGTCGCGGCATTGTACATACGTCTCCGCGTATTCGTGTTACAACGTGTATATGTACAGCATCACGTCGTTTCGGTATGTAACTGTGTAGGCAAGGCGTATGGAAAGCCGCGCCATCCCAGGAGGTTCATTAATTATAATTAATATCGCTGTCGATAATGGCACTAGCACTTCGTATAATATTGCCATGACGTACATACATCGTGTCGTGAGACGCCTCCGCTTTATGCGGTCTGCTCTCGCGGTCTTTTCGCAAGAACGATCGTGATCGATGCCGTTATACATCGATGTAACCCTCCATCTAACCGAGAACACGTTGCATGTGTTTGCATATTATTAAAATATGCATCATATATTTAATTAGAAATTTAAAGCAGCTATATCTTTATTATTGCGTAGGTTATATAAATAAAAGAGATGAATCAATAAATAAGTAACTACGATTAATTAAGACGTAGTAAAAATAAGTAAAGTAAATAAGAAATAGTAAATAGGAAAAGAGAAAAGGTAAAATGAAAAGTACTTGTACCTCATCATCTTGATAATTTTGATAATTTTGTCTTCCGTGAGTTACACGGGAAGAATAATTTTGCTGAATCTAAAAAATTTAGTTAGATACAATTTTGAAAATAATAATGTTGTACCATCGAAATAATTATGTAGGACGCTCGAGCATAATGAGCAATGAGTGCAAAAAGTTTTGATGTAGTCTCGCAACTATTATAGCTTGAACGTCCTACATAATTATTTTTAGATGTATATCTAGTTAAATTTTTAGATACTTTAGCAACACACCGTTCTTTCCGTGCATGCACGTAATTATGAAATGACACAATATTTTAGATGTACTATGTTATAAATCTAAACGCTACATAATAGAATATGATATAAATACGAATTTCATCATAAGAGCAAACCGATAACTATATATGTACGTGTAACTTTGCTTGTCGAGGATCAATTGTCACCATCTAACGGTCTCGAAGATCATTCAATATTAAGAGTTAATTCGCTGGTCTGACAGGTGCAAGAATTGATGCCTCAGGTATACGGGAACATCCTGACGTAGATTGAGTATCGATCATTATACGCGTCGTGGTTATAAATTGTCGTTACGAATCAATTGGCCGTCGAGCGTGACTATTCGTGGATGCAATTAACCATCGGCGAAAAGCGATTTCACTCGGTCAATTCGCTGATGAGAAAGGTGAGAAGGTATCTGGGGCACTCTTCGCAATAAGGACACATTTTACGTCATCTCGCTTTAGAATTCTTCATTCTTGTAATTACTTGTACCAAGGTAAAGTTTTTCACTTTGTTTAAAGTTTCATTTGATTAAACAACGATGCAAACAGCGTTGTTCTAAATCAATTACGTTCTTCATGCATGAGTTTAAATAAAGATAAACGTAATTATAATTTATCGACGTGTATTAATGTGTTTTTTTTATCTCGTAGTTTAAAATCTTTCAAGTCACCCTGCTGCGCGTGTTTACGAAAAATTGGCGATTTATGTGGGCTCAAATGTACAAATCGGTGCAGCAATGCACCAAGATGAAGGGGTAGCTCCGACATGGATTAAACGATGCTGATTATATGCATCTCGCTTGTAAATCGTTACAAATTAATCGGCCGCCAGACTCCCCCCTGCGTGTCCATCGATGGATGGGATTAAGCACTTTGCAAGAGGGATCGATTCGCTAGGCATCGATCAGAATCCTCGTACACCTTTTAACCTTTAGCCGATGTTGAATCGTTTACTTTGACAGGAAGAAAAGAATTGTTACTCTTCTTTTTGCACGTTGGATATCTAAGTGTATATGGTTTGCTGAATTTCAGTATACGTGAGAAACGTTCCGTTCTGTTCACCCGGAGGAGGGCGAAAGAAAGGGTAGTATTCGTTACCGTCAAACCTTTTGACCTCTTGCTGATAGAGGATCGATGTATCTCTCTTGGTTTCCTTGATCTTCTCTCGTATGAATCTGCGATTAGAAAAATCGCGCGATTCCTGATGGATCGATTACCTTGATCGATCATGCGTTAGTTAGAGCGCATACTTTTTGTAATTGCCACGCTACGTATAAGATAACTGTAGGTACTAATGGCTGCCCGGGATAGGCTGATAATTAATAGCTGCGATTAATTTGACACTGGTATCTTATATCAAATCTCGTTGAATCAGCGCTGCGTGGATCAGTGCACGGCTGTTCGATTGAATGGAGCAGTATGTTGTATGAGTTTGAAATTGAATCGATTACAAGCTATCTTAAAAGTTTATAATTTCTTACAATTTTATTATGTTTTACAAGTTAAAGTAATTTTCAACAAACAAGTAAAGATATTAAACAATTTCAAATGCAATTACAGAAAAATAGAACTGTAACATTTTGTAATGATGTTTTGAAATTACGTTAGGATGCTCATTTAAGTATTTTGCATTGTTAATTTATGAAAATATGAATTCGAAGGAAATGTCAACTTTTGCGCAGGCAAACCCATGTCCTCACCCAATTGTAATCCTGAAGGATGTGGCGTCGTCGGACATGGAATCCTTGCTACGTTTTATGTATCACGGGGAGGTGCACGTGGGTCAGGAGCAGCTACCTGCTTTCCTGAAGACGGCTCAAATGCTTCAAGTCCGGGGTTTGGCGGACGTTAATAGCGGCGCCACGAAAATTCCACCGTCGTCGGCCGGCAACAACGGTAGCGCACCTGTAAGTTGTCCCCGCGGCAGTTTAATATGGAAGTTGGAAAATTAATTATACGAATTATACGGCTGGTTTCGAACTTTTAATTAATTTAGCCTTAATTAAAACGAATTTTAATTAATGTGCTTTTAACACTACGCCGTCGCCGCCATCGTGACAGGCGGAATCCCGGCTAGAATTTCCTGCTTCGTCCTTTAGCTTTTAATTTCACGACTTATAATAGACGTTAGACAAATATTACGTGGAAGTTTTAATAATGGAGTATCTGGAGTTTCTCTGATTATACATATAATGAGATTATCGAATGTTAAATATTAATTGGAATTAAATTATATGAAGAATGATTGCGTTGCCTTTTTCATGGATGCTGTACTATCATCCATATATTATCTTTAATTTGGTCAGGCAACCCCACGTAACTGGCAGGATAACGGCAGAGGGGATCTCAATGAAAGTGAATTGAGTCCACCAGAAAAACGAGCAAGAAGTTATAGTCCGCCGATAGGAAACCACGTCGAACCAAAATTGGATCTTCAGGAATCCTTGTTAGGCCAGGCACTCGAAGGTGGTCCCACGATACACACGACATCCACAAACAACATACAGGTGAATAAGGATTATGTCAAGTTAGACAACAATAATGATGTTCTATTATACGTAAACGTGTTTCCGCGCAAAAGTAAATTGAAATTTTATGAAACCGATTAGTATCTTTGCAACGATTATAGGTATTTTTTACTGATATTTTACAAATATCGGGGTATTTTGTTAACTTTCAGGCGCAATCAACTGGCGAAGATTCGAATTCTATGTCAGAAAACGAGGAGGATGTGTCGAATCACGGCAGCATTCTTAACGCAGTGAAGACCGAGCCAAGTGATATTTTAAATGATTCTATAGAACATCATCGAAACAGCTTTCCTGCAGCGTTGTTAAGTCTTCAAGGTAATTATTTGTTTAAAATTCTTTTATGTTTAAAATTCTCACATTAAATCTTGTAAAATATTTTATATTTAACATATTGTTATATTATTTTCTCTGTTTGAAATTCATTTAATAATAAATAAATCATATACTTCAAAAATACAAAACAGATTATTGATCTGTTTTAAAAATATGTTTTATATTGATAATTGTTTGTATATTATAAATATCGGCTACTTCGGTATTTATAAGGCAGAGTTGAATTTATGTTGGACCAAAGAAATCCCAGTTTTGTCGAAAGGATGCAAATTAGTTTTTTAATTAATGGCACATTTAATTACTAATTACATTTGTAATTAATTATTAATTCCTCGTCCAGTTACTAATTACTTTCGTAATTAGCAATTAGCCCGACTTAATTACTAATTACGGCTTCAATTAAAATTAATTAATGAATAATTACAATTATTTCTATTTGTGTACATAATTTCATTGTATTCTTTGACTTATGAAAATGTGTTAATATAAATCTATTATGAAATGTAATAAACTAACATATTATTAACATAATTTGATTTCGTTTACTTGTGCTCTAGTCAATTGAGCGATACAAATCTCATGATTTATATTTATACTTACCATAAAACAGTAGTTGACTTTGTTAATGTGTACTGCGTATTATTAAGTATTAAAAAATTAATATTCTATTTTTAATTTATGACAATTTACTAAAAGAAACTGCATTTCATATTTAACATATAAATAAATAATTGCACTTTTCTGTCTTATTTAATAATATTAAATTTTTAAAATAATGACATCTTTGTATGTAATTAATCTAATTGACTCTTTATTTTTAAATTACAGGCATGAATATGCCAGGACCCTCCGGTATGCATCAAGTAGCCAATCAGGATCCGAATTATGGTAAGTTTATCAAATCTATGATTTGATTTCACCCTTTTAAACATTCTTAAAGCCCAGACTAGTATCCTTCCGTCGTTTCCTAAGACTCTGATCTCTCGTTGTTGCGTTGAATGCATGAAACTCTCGTACCTCTCACAACCCTTGTATCCCTTGTCAACTACCCCTCTTATCACACGGTGAGCAGCAACGTATTATGGAGTCGCATCTCAACGGCTCTTCTATGATTTTCATTATTGTGGCGTATCTTACATGGCAGAGACATAAATCTTTTTCATAGTAACTATCATGCAATGACCTTTTTATTCGGAAATGAACATCATATTGTATTTTCGTCACTGTCTTTGTCTGTGATGTGAGGCTTATTTTCGACATCGTATATTACCTTGAAAAATTGTGTAAGTGTGAAATCGATTCGCGTCCCTACTTGCAATATCAACAAAATTTTCAGGCTCAGGAATCGAATTGTAAATCTAAACTTATTCGTAATTATCTAAAATAATTTTAATTATGCGTGTATATCAATGTAGTGATCTTATTCGGTCTCAATTTGAATAAGAATTGGAAAGAAATCGCGATATGGGAAGATAATGAAGAAGAGACGAACAATATAGGGTGCACAAGAGCGCCAGGAACAATTAAAGGTTGCCATATTAACTTGATACGGAAGGATTGAATTCGATTCTAGATTTAGGGAGAGACTCGTTGGGGGAGGGTACAAAAATTATTGAGGGCAAAACCTTGTCTTTAAAACCTGGAAATACACTTTCAGAAAAGAGAAAGTTGAAAAAAAAATATATAAGAAAGGGCAGTGGGAGGCAAAAAAAGCGATTGAATAGTGTTTAAGGAATCGTACGAGGTTGGCTGAGGACTGACATTGGCTGGTGGTTCCAGGGCGGTGGCAGCCCTCTGGAGGAGATGGTTCAAGTTCGAGTTCCGGTTGGCTGCCGGGTTCATCCTCCAAGAACGAGCACGCCGGGTCTGAAACCTACCAGAGCGGCGGAGGTCACAACTCGAAAGGGCAGGATCTCTCAGGCTTGCTTCAGCATCATCACCATCAGCATCATCACCACCATACCACCAGCCAACAGTCGTCGCAGCAACACACCCTCAATACCCTCAACTCCCTCAATAACCTAAACAGTGAGCAACTTACGATGATGCATCAGAAACTGCAGAACAATCTCCAAAGTCTCCAGCAGAGCACTTCTGTCAAGAGTGAGCAACTGAATCTGATATTGCAGTCTTGCGCGAAGGACAAGATCGATATGGCGATACTCCACCAACAATCTCACAGGCGGTATCATCAGCAAAGGGAGGACGCCAATCAAACTGGTAAACCCAAGTGTCCCGAATGCGGCAAGATATATTCGAATAATTCTAATTTAAAGCAGCACATTGTTAACGTTCACACTGTGCAGACTGAGTACATCTCGTGTCACGTGTGCAGCAAGCAATTCAAGACCAAGCAGTACTTGCAGATTCACCTGCTTTCCATGCATGGCATCAGAAAGCGAAAAACTTATCCTCTGTATCACCAGATACAGACACATGTGCAGGCGCAACAGCAATCTTTGCAGCCTGCCTCACAAGTTTCCGCAAGCCAACAGTCTCAACAATAATATTCCTCGGCTGAGAGAGAGAGAGAGAGAGAGAGAGAGAGAGAGAGAGAGAGAGAGAGAGAGAGATATGATCCGAAGATAAGTAGCAATCTGGAAATTGATCGAAGAGGGCTTGCGATTTACATACATGCGTGCGAAAGAATCGTTGATGCCTCATAATTTGTGATTCCCTTGTGAAGACTTTTGACAGACGTTTTTATAGTGATGAATCCATTGTTATTGCGCTATGAAGAAATCAAATGTGAACAACGCGTTGCGCTGTTGTGTGCTTGTGTCTTCAGCGAAAGTGAGTTGACGCTAACGATATTATGATCATAGATGTAAAATATTTTTTTTTTATGAGATGCGCTGAAGGAAGGTGCGTAGATTCAAACATAAACTTTAATATTCATTTGTTGATAATTATCGATATTCAATAAAAGATAATTGCACATCTTTTTACAATGGCGTGCAATTATACAGTTTAATAAGACTGCAATTTTATGTTTTAATTTTGAAAAGATTTTGTAACTAGTTTATTTTAGTTAACGAATATAAATTATGACGAAGAGTTTCTGCTCCGATTTGCATATTATATGAATATCTAATTATTATTTCTTTATGGATGAAGAAATTGTACAATTGCAAATTTTTTGTTTCTTTTTACTTTTTATTTTTTAATTTAACCGAGAAAAACTTAATAATACTCGATTTGTTCATATGAGAACGATGAATATTTAAATTTTTAATTTGATAACAAACCGATCCTATTTCTTATACATATGTTAAAGGTATGCTTCTCAGTATTTTATAATATAATATTTTTATTATTATATTAAATATACTTAATCAAGAGAAAACATATTTACATTTATATGTAAATGTAGATTATTTCGAAGTATTAGTTATTAATGTAATACTTTTCGAATGATTTGATTGCACATTCGGCCTCCCTCTCAGCGCATCAACGACATGGTAGTTAAATTTGACCCTGAGTGTGCCTCGGAAAGACCGCGCCTAAGCGATCGAAGCTCACACTCGTAGGTATTCGTTTTTTATTAGAGTTCGGATAAGGGTGCGGAGGTGTCGATAGGTAAGGCGGAGGCGAAAGAGGGTGCTGGTACGAGAATTGGCCGACCTATTTTCGTCTCGTACCGCAGTGCGCAGTTCACCCTTCGCGTTGACGATAAGCAGGCCTCCTCGATTGGTCGGAAAAGCAAGAACGGGAAAGAGTGTGAGAGAGACAAAGTTAGAAAAAGCTCCGCGAGAGCTTCCTTTACTGCGTTATAACTAGTGCGATAAATAAGGTGGTATGACCAACTCCGTTTTTTGAAAAGCAAATTCGCGTTGTGAAGCCACCCTCTTATGGTATATTCATCGCCTGCTTTTATGAAAGAAATGAGCGGAATGAAGAATTATTCAGAAATGAATGTGAAAGCCGGAGATACGGACTTTCACCTTCAAGGGCTATTGTTATTAATTTCTTGTATCGCTTCTTTTTGTGAAGGAAAGCTTTTAAATATTTATATACATATATGAAATATCGATGAGTCTTGAATT